CTGAAGTTCTTGAAGCATCTGGGTTTCTCCCTTCTTTGGCCAGTGAGTCCTCCAAGCATCTTTTTGACAACACTGTCACCTAAGCCTCTATGGCGTCTGTAAGACCAGAAGCCCAACCCCCCAGAGATGGTTGGAGGGCACCGAGAAACAGAGCACAGAAAGTGCCCGTCAGCACTCCCTGCATGTGAGTTGTTGCTCACAGGGTCATGTCTACCCATTGTGATGGCTCCTTGAGCTGTAAAATGGGTATAACCATACCTGCCCCTTCCCCCTCAGAATTTCCGTGAAACTTGGAAAGAAAAGAAGATGGCAGAGCGAGATCACATAATTCTTCACCTTGGAGGAGGCTCGGGGAGGGTTGACTTACTAGCGGCTCCAGGGAGGATGGAGGCAGGAGCAAGAATGTTCTCCCTTCGAGTTCTGTCAAGGCACCAGGGGGGCAGATCGTCTGAGGGGGATTTATGACAAGGGGATAGTTTGCTGAGGGGGAGACAGGCGTGGGGAATGGCCGAGTGGGTCGTGAAGACTACATACACAAAACAACAAACAAAACTCAAAAACTCCCCAAATCTAAAACACAAACACACACACACAGAGCTCTGTTTAAATACGTAACGAGTCACCAGGTGACGATGAGCCCCACAGTACTATTTACTCAGTTTCTCTAAGGACAAAGAAACAAAAATGTCCTTCATTCATTTCCTAACCATTGCCTGAGTCCTTGGTAGGTGTTAAGTGTTGGGGATGGAGTACGAAGGTAAACAAAACACTAAAGCCAGTAGGAACTGAATTTATGATTTTGTTTATACCTTAGGTATTTTTAAATAAGGTTTGGAGTTTTCTAGAAATGAGCATTTGCAGCAAGGTTAAATCTGGGGGGAGAATGTCACCGTGATGTCATGGGCAAGCCTGCCTTTGGCTTGAATTAGACCGTGGATTTCCTTATTACACACTCGAGCTTGGCTTTACAAACCTGACATTTAAATGTCTGAATCTACTGTGAATGTGAAATGAAGGGATGCCAGTTTCGCGTTCGTTTCCAGGTCCTTGCTATAGGCTGGGCTCTGCTCTAGTCTCAGGGGATGTAAAAATGAAAGATTAAGTTGTTCCACCAGGATTTGCTCACGATTCAGGAAAAGGTATAAATACAGGAACCCAGCAGGAGAGAAGCACAGAGAAGGGCCAGGTGAGGCTCAAAGAGGAGGTGACATTTGGTCTAGGCTTTGAAGGATGAGGAGGAGTTTGTGAAATGCAGAGGGGATGAGGGACATGTTCCCAGCCAGGGAGACAGCATTGGCCCAGGCCTGGAGGCAGGCGCTTGGGGAACGGGGAAGTGGGTGTGGCTGGAGTGTAGGATTCAAGGAGAGACATGGAAGACTACCCAGGTGGGCCAACTCTTGCTGTCCGCAGAAAGATCCAGAAGCCCCGATTCTCTCCCTAGTCCATGTCAGTGTACTGACCCACTCAGAATTAAGGATGGGGCAGAGAGACTTGAAACCATCAGAAAGGAGGATGTGTACCAAATAGGCAAGTCCAGAGAAAGTAATTAGATAGGTCTTAAACTTCTTACCCCCACCCCACACAAAGGTACTAGACATGTTAACTACCCTTATTGTCGAAATAACTTCACAGTCTATACGTACATAGAATCACCAGGTTGTACACCATAATAGACACACTTTTATATCAGTAAAGCTGGGGAAAATTTTTAAAAAGAAAGGGTCTTGGCACTGAAAGAGAAAGTAGTTTCGTAGTTGCGGGGGGCTGGGGGACGGGGAGAATGGGAGTGGCTTATAACAGGGACAGGTTTCTTTTTGGGGTGGTACAAATGTTCTGGATGTAATGGTGATGGTTGCACAACCGTGTGAGTATACTAAAAACCTCAACGATGTGTACACTTTAAAATGGTGAAATTTGTGGCACATGGATTATTTTTCAATTAAAAAAAAACAAGACTTGGGTGTGAAACTTGTCTGCCCCATCCTTAATCGACATGGTCGGGCCTTGGACCTTCCCCCCTCCTCCCTGCAGCCACGGCCCTGGGTGGCCCTCGCCTGTGCCAGGGGCCAGGTTGCTAGCAGGGAAGCTGCGGGGCAGCCTCACCCCTGCCCGGGCTCCACTCTGCCGCCCCCTCTGTGGCCTGGGACCAGGCATTTCCTTCTCTGAGCTGTGGAGAGGCTCACCAGGATGCTAGGGGAGAGCCTTCTCAGTCCCTCCGAGCTCGAATCCTGTGCCCACAATGAACACCTGGCACCTCATCCTGGCTCCATGTAAGTCCCCTGGGAATCGAGATCGAGAAGAACCGAGCAGTGAGTAGCACTCAAAGTCGTGGCTGCAGCCAGAGTAGGTGCTGTTGTTTAAAATCATGCAGTAGCTCATTTGATTCTTCCAGCACCACGGTGATGGAAGTATTATGACCATCTCCATTTTATGGATGGGGAAACTGAGGCCCAGAGAAGTCAAGCAACTTGTCAGAAGTCACACAGCATGGAAGTGGGAGCAGCAGGACTGGAAATCAGGCTATCACACTGTCCCCCACCCTCCACCCCACTGCCATGCAGTCTGGACTTGAGCCTCTGGGCAAGGGCGTCATGGAGAGGCTTGAACTTGGAAGTGGCACCAAGTGGCAGCTGACTGCCCTGCGAACGGGAGCCTGGCTGGGATGGGGGTTGCGGTCATTGTCCAAGAGGCGGTGGGTGTGTGTCACAGAGTCATTTAGAAAAACTAAATACATGACAAAAATCCTGCAAGGAGGTCTCCAGTGAGACTGTGTGAATGCTTTAAAACACCCAAAATCGGTCCCAGAAGCACTGTGGTGGCTCAGCTGGCCCCACTTCTGTGACCCCCGCCTCTCCAGGAAGACCTCTTGCCCAGACCCTGTCCCCCCATGGCCACCTGGGACTCCTGAGCCCTTTGAACTGTGGTCCCCCCCGCAGCCTCAGTTCCCCGGTAAATCCAGGGTCGGCCCCCCAAGACATCTGTGCACAATCTCCAGGACCTGTGAACGTATCTCACAGGTCATGCAATGATGGCTAATCCTGGGTCATGGAGTGGGCCCCAAATCCAGCGAGCAGTGTCCTCGTGGGAGACACCCAGGGAAGAGGAGACAGTGTGACTGATCCCCGGGGGCAGGGAGACTGTCCGGGCCACAAGCCCAGGGACTCCTGGGGCCTCGGAGGCTGAAGGCAGAACCATTGTCCCCTGCAGCCTCTGTAGGGAGTGTGGCCCTGCTGACACCTGAGTTTCGGACCTCTGGCCTTGGGACCTGAGAGACTATACATTTTATGCCCCCGGTTTGCAGTGGTTTGCCGTGGCGGCCAGGAAACTAAGTGCCTTGCACATCCCTTTCCTTCCTGTGTTCCCTCTGCCCTCCCTGGGGCTGTCCCACTTTGTCCACAGCCTCCCGGCAGTGACTGTGACCCTCTGGTGGGTCCCCTGTCCACCTAGGCACTCACCCCCAAGCTTTTGCTGGCTGGGCTGTAGGCCTGTGCACCGAGTCCTTCCCTGCATCCTTCCCCCTGCCAGATGCCACTTGGACACCACACAAACTGAGACTGCAAAGTCCCCGTGAAAACCCAGGACAGCACGAAAAAGCAAGACTGTCCCCTGCTGTCTCTGTCAAACCATGGGTCCTTTGTGTCCCTGTCCTCCTTCGTTCACAGAGCCTTTGAGGGCAGGAGGGGTACACATGGGGTTCAGGGAAGCCCACTCTGCAGCTCCCTGTGTGAGATTCTAGCCACAGTGTGTGTGTGTGTGTGTGTGTGTGTGTGTGTGTGTGTGTAAAATGCCAAGAGATGGGGACAAAGCCACTTCCTCCCGGAGGCACACAGGGTTTCACTTCACAGGTATCACTGGGTTGGTGCTGTGGTTTAAAGGCCTCTGCCGGAAAGATTGTAGCAGCCTCGCCCAAGGCCTGTGGTGGGGGCCAGCACCTGGGACACCTGCTGTCCCCAAGCTGGCCAAGGGTAGTGTCTGCCAAGATCCTGGGTCCCACCAGGCTGCCCTGCAGTCAAAGGCCCACTTATACCCTGTTGGGGAGCTGGGGCAAGTAGAGGAATCCAGGGACCTCATGTGTCAAAAGGGGGGGCCCTCCTGGGGATTTGGAATTGGGGCCCCCAGGGCCAGGTTCCTAGACTGGGCTGCAGGCTCAGGGCACAGGCAGGAAGTGGCTGCTCCCGCCATCTCCTGGTACTCCCTGCGGTTCTAGGGGAGGGGAGGCAGGTTCGGGTGATGGTTCTCAGTTGGCTGATGGAAAAGACGCGGCCTCAGCCTTCAGTCGTGCAACTGATGTGTGGAATGGAAGTAAGACTTCCGGAACCCCTACTCTGTATTTCCAGCAGGGCCCGAAAGAGACAGGTGCCTGCAAGGTACCGATTCCCCTGGAGCGGCCTGCCTCCAGCTTCTGGTCTCGCCCGCACGCCACGCGCGGTTTCTCGTCTGGGGAGTCCTGCAGCCAGGGTTGGCTCCAGGTCCGCAAAATGACGCCCTAATCTGGGCAGCTGCGACAGCGACTGGAACCCCAGACGCCCTTCATTCCGCGCCCCCTCCTCTGCGACCGGGATGCTCTAGGCTGTGGCTGCAGCGAGGGGACCCCCCTTCCTCTTCCTCTAACCAACAGACCAGCGAAACCTTTCCCTCTCCCTCCAACGCGGCGCAGCGCGCCAAGCGCTCTCTGCCTGAATACCCAACCCTCGGGCAGCCCCGCGGCGTCCTCTCTGCCGGGCGCCGTCCCCCGCTCAGGAGAGCTCTCCCCCTCCTGCCGAAGCATTCGCATCCGCGCCTCCTTCCCGCGGGGACACCCTCCGCCCTGTTTCCGGGACCCCTTCCCAACCCAGCGGCGCGCCACGGGCCCGCTCCCGTGCCCCCCACTCTGGCGCATCGCTCCATCCCTTCGCTCTCCCCCTTCACGCCGCGCCCCGCCCCGCCCCTCGCAGCCGCCCCGAGCCTCGGGTCCCGGCGCGCCCCTCGCAGTCGGGGCGGGCTCGGGTCCCCGGGGAGGGCTCCTTTGTGCTGCCCCGCGCGCTGCGTCAGGGCGGAGTTGCCGCCGCCGCCACACGCACGCACTCACCCGCTCACGGGCGGCCCCGGGGGCGGCGGGAAGGGAGGCGGCGAGCGGGAGGAGGGAGCGGCCGCGAGCCCAATCGCTCGGCTCCCCCGCCCGGCCCCGCGCGGCGCCGCCTCCGCCATTGCTGCGCGCGGGAGCTGCCGACGCGGAGGCTCGCTGCGCGCTTGGAGCCAGACCTGCGAGCCGGCGTGGGTGAGTGCGGCCCGCGGGCCCGAGCCTTCCGCCCCAGGGCGGGGTCCGCGGGCCCGAGCCTTCCCTCCGAGGCGGGGTTCGCGGGCCGCCGGGCACCCAGTGGGTGGGTGGGGAACCGGGGTGCTCCGCGCGGGTCCCCGGCGCTGGGACGGGGCGCGCCCTCTCCCCGGCCGCGGTGCGCCCCTGAGCCGGGCACTTGGGTCCCGCGTGGGGGAGGGCCTGGGACCCCCTCCTTCCCCTCCTACCCCCGTCCCGGGCCCGAGACAGCTGCGTCCTCCCGACCCCTCCTCCCCGGAGGCCAAGGGGGAGCCGGCGAGCTCGCGCTGACTCCCGCCCTGCCCTCCCTCGCAGGCGGCAGCCTCGGGTCTCTCGGAACGATGGTGAAGTTGGGGAACAATTTCGCGGAGAAGGGCACCAAGCAGCCGCTGCTGGAGGATGGCTTCGACACCATCCCCCTGATGACGCCCCTCGATGTCAATCAGCTGCAGTTTCCGCCCCCGGACAAGGTGAGAGCCCCCCGGCACCCCCGCGCTGCCGGGTGCGCACCCCAAGCCTCGGGCGGCGGCCGCAACAAAAGAGACGCGCGGCGTGCGCGGGAGATGGGAAGTGGGGGCGAGCTCGGGCGGCGGGAGGAAGCCCCTCGGGAGGACCGCGTGCCCGCGCGGGATTCCGGATCCGGAGACAGCTCCGTTCCGACAAGGGAGAGCGATTGGGGGAAGGTCCCTTCTGGATTTTCGTAGCAGTCTTGTCTGAGAGGGGCCCCAGGTACCAACGCGGCGGCCCCGGCCCTGCTTCTCCTCGCCCATGCCCCCCCCCCCCCAAGGTAGCAGGGGACTGTGGGTCTGGGGTGAGCCTTGGGGCGCGGCTGCCCCGTGCGCCTGCCCAGGTGGGGCGGTTTCCGTCGGACTTGCCCCTCGGATTCGCCCCGTGGCGGTGAGGAGGCTCCTCTCCTTGGCCAGGTGGACCCTCATTGAGGGGCTGGGTTCCCGTCCTCACCCTCTCCGCCTGCCCCTCCCAGGCCGTCTGTAGATGCTGCAGGGCGTCTGTTCTTCCCGGGAGCTTCCTTCTCTTTGTTCCTTTTGTGAAATCTTCTAGTAAGTGCTCTGCTGGCCGGGTGTTAGCCTAACTGGGGACAGCCCTTCATCATCGTTTCCCCAAAGTGGGCTTTCCTTTTCTGAATTTAGAGCCCCTTCTTTTCCTGAGTACAGTATCCAATCAAGTAGTTTCTGTACCTGAAGGATAATTTTTTCAGGAGTTAACGTTTTAAAAGGGTAAATGGCAACGATAGAAAGTCTCGACAATTGTATTCCAATTCCAATAATTCCAATTATTCAAACCTAGAATAATAAACACAGCATCCTTTCTGACCACCTTGCTGCTGCTTAAAAACCACCCAGCCGCGAGCGAGTTCATTCTATTTCCTGAAGTGCGTTTCCATTTATTGTCTCATTTAGCTCCAGCGAGGACGTTCTGAGTCAGGTCTTTGTCCTTTATTCCGGCTCGATGGTGATTGCTGACCACTGGATGGGGATGGGGGGATATCTTGGCAGCAGCAGAGGGTCCTTCCCTTCTGGAAGATTCCTTTATTCCCAGGTGCACCCTTTGACTTACTCAGCTGTCTAGAGTGGTTTCCATCCCCCCAACTCTATTGTTTGTGTATTGGGTGGGGGGGATGGAGAAGGAAAGGCGGCTGATGGCAGGTGTTTCGGTTCAGGAAGAGGATCCGCAGGGCACACCTGTGCACCTAGGCCACGTGGGGCCAATTTGGGGTACTGACAGTCTAGAGGAGGCTTGAGGGGAGGGGTGGGGCAGGGCTGCCAGCGGCGCATCCCCCTTCCCTGACTTGCTGGGCTAGCTCAGCTGCCCCCCCCCACCTTTCCCTCCCTCCTCAGCCCCAGAGTGGTGGTGGCCTGTGCCAGGAATGCTGTGTCCCGAGGCAGCACCTCTGTCAGGTGACTCCCTCCACTCAGCCTGAGTCTCCTCTTTTGCCCTCAGTCTGTTCCATTCCAGAACTGTCTGGCACACAGTTGTCTTCTACCAGTGGGGGTGGATTTCAGGCAGGTATGAAATCCTGGCCAACCAATTGGGCCATTTCGAAGTAGCCTAGGTAGGTCTGAAAGGTAGTGAGTCTCCCATCCCTGGGAGTGTTCAATCAGAGAGGGAATTGGCGGGAGTGTTCAGTCAGAGGGAGGGAACCCCCTCTGGGGCATCCAGGAACCAGTGGTTGGGCTAGAAGATTTCTGAGGTCACAGGTGAGGAGACTGAGTCTCAGAGAGTTCAAGGGGATGGGCCCAAGGTCACACGGTAGAAGGCCACAATCCCCTCCCTCTGTACAGAAGCTTCTGGCAGGGCCCCACACTCCATCCTGCTTGGGATGTGACTTCTCACGCAAGACCTCGCTCCTCGCTTAACACGCACAACAGTGCTGTGCTGCTCACAGGCAGGGTTCAGAGGAGGTGATGTCTCCTGTCCCAGGTGCTGTGGCTGGTGGGGTCAGGTAACACAGCCAGGGTTGTGAGTGGAGCCTGTCCTGAGAGCGAGCACCGAGTGCCGAGGGTCGCCGGTGACAGTGGAGCCGGCAGCAAGGCACGGGCTGGTCTCGCCTGACATTTGTTGAGTAACTTTACTGTCATTGCTCCCATTTTACACATGTGGAGATAGAGGGTCTAGTTCGAGGTCACTGAGCATGTTAGCAGCAAAGGCAGCTGAATCTGGGCCGGTAGAGTATTGACTGGGTTCGCGCTGTGCTGAGGGTTGTGTGAACGGCCCCCTCCTCACTGCAGCGGGCTGAGATAGGCCTTGGTCCCATTTCACAGGCCAGGACACTGAGGTTTGGAGAGGCCAAGCAGGTGCTGAGGGTCACATAGCGAGTCAGGGACACTTGGGATTTGAGGACAGTAGGGGAATGCACCAATGCTCCCTCCAGAGCTGGTGGGCACCCGCACTGTCACAGTCAGTGTGCCCGCCCTCTCGGCATCCAGAGAGCTTCGTGCATGGAAGGGACTGAGGAGGGAAGGCAAGAGTTGATGACAGGTTTTGTGGCCCTTGGATCAGTTTTCGGTGGCAGCTGGCTTGGGTCACTCTCTCTCCCAATTCCTTCTCTCGGCTGGATCCAGGGTCATAGCTGAGTCCTAGAGCCCCTCCGGCAGCCCCCATGGCTCACTGTCCTGATTCTCCCCTGGCTCTTCCCTGGGGCCTATGGTTGCTGAGAGCCGGTTTCCAACCCCACTGTCTTGGGGTGGAGGGGAGCATGGGTGGCTGGGCCTCTGCAGTCCTGCTGCCGCTTCTTGGCTCCTGGATTTGAGGTGGAGGAGTGGGGACTAGAGCAGTGGAAACTCTGAGGCCTCCCTGGCCTGTGGGGACAGAGCAGGAAACTGTCCGACAGGCGAGTGGAGGAAGGGGCTGGAGCCTCGGGGGTGACGGGGGAGGATGGAGGGCGGGTGGGGGCTCGTGGGAAGCTGCTGGGGGAGCAGGGAGCAGGTGTGTATGGGGCAGAGTGGGGCAGGTGCGTGGGAGGAGAAACCTCTTCACTTCGAAGTAGAGAGCAGGGGGAAGAAGAGCAGGGAGATCCTCCGGGGGTCATTGCAGGGGCAGAGGAGGGAGAGGGTGGCGGGGTGGGGGCTGAGAGATGAAGGCCAGCTCCTCCTTCCTAATCTCATTGCCTCTTCCATCCTTTTACCCATGGTGGCACAGAAAGACCCATGGAAGCCGAGGGCACCCCCTGGACCACCGGGGCTTCTGCGGCACCCTGGGTGGTGGAAGGAGCATGGTAGCAGGAGTTAGCCCTGCCCCCTCTTAGCTGGGGGACCTCTGGCCGAGGAGCTTAACTTCTCCAGCCGGGAGTGACCGTCTTTCCCTCCTGGGGCTGCTCTCGCGATTACTCATGGGCCATTTCTCCGAAAGTCCTGGCCCGGAGATTTCCGGCCAATGACGGCTGTTCTCCTTTTCTGTGAAATACTTGTCAGTGAAATGCTGACTGGGCCCCCAGGGTGCCCATGCCCATCCTCGCCAGACAGGTATGTCCACGGGCTTTGGGCCACACTGCTGACCACTGACGCTGTGCTTCTCTGCTTCCCGGACAAGGTGGTTGTGAAAACGAAGACCGAGTACGAGCCTGACCGCAAGAAAGGCAAAGCACGTCCTCCCAAGATAGCGGAGTTCACCGTCAGCATCACTGAGGGGGTCACCGAGAGGTTCAAGGTGAGTGGCCCTGGTGGGGGGTGGAGGGTAAACTGGCCCCTGGAGTGATAGGACCGGATGCCGTTTGTCTGGCCAATCCCAGCTGTGCAGAACCCACTCTGTGGTTTTCCAGATCTTCTTTCTTTCCTTCGTCTTCCAGAATGACCACATACAAGTTCGTAAGAATGTGTTTTGGTTTGGACATTTTTTAAATTTTAATTTCTTGTTTTTAAAAATTCTGGCATGATTATTTTACAGTGTTATGTGAGTTTTGGGTGCTCAGCATAGTGATTTGAGTCTGTCTGTGACACAGTGCTCGGCAGGGTAAGTGCTTTCTTCATCCCCTTCACCAGCTTCACCCCTGCCCTGGCCTCCCTCCCCTCTGCAGCCGCCAGTTTGTTCTCTAGGGTTAAGAGTCTCATTTTGTGGGGGTTTTTGTTTGTTTGTTTGTTTTAAAGATTTCATTTATTTATTTGACAGAGAGAGAGAGAGTGAGAGCAGGAGCACAAGCAGGGGGAGAAGCAGGCTCCCCGCTGAGCAGGGCGCCCAATGTGGGGCTCAATCCCAGGACCCTGGGATCACGACCTGAGCCGAAGGTAGACTCTTAACGACTGAGCCCCCCAGGCAGCCCTTGCTTAGTTTTAGTAACAGGGAAAACCCACCCCTAAACTTTCTTTTAGACAATGGCTAACAGACATGTGAAAAATCACTTACCAAACTTTAAGATCCTTACCTCACAGTTGCAGGAAGGACGCAGGCTCACACAAAGGTAAGGCAGCCTCTTTATTACCTGCAAGACCTGCTTCTGGGCCCTTTCCTCGTGCTTCTGAGCTCAGGGAGCCTCCCCAGAGGTCAGGACTGCCCGGAGGACCCATCCTACAGATGGGGAGGTTGAGGTGCGGAGCAGTCATGGCTGTTACAGTGGGCGGAGGCCTCGCTCTGGACAGTTGTCTGGGGAGGAAGAGCTGCTGGAAGGGGCAGGGTTTCAGCCAGGCTAGGGGGTGGAGCCTCCCCCAACACCTGGGTGCCTCCGAGGGTGGAGACGGCTGCAGTAGAGGAGAAAGTTTGGATACAGATCTTCTGAAAGCTTGTTCTTTGAGGACACACGAGAGACGGTAAATTGGTGGCCCTCACTCAGTTTCAGAGGGGTGATTTGAGAGACACCAGTAGTCGTCCCGACCTTGCAGAGTGGCCGTGGCCGCCTCTCCTGTGGCTCTGTGTGGCTGTGTGAGCAGATCGCTGATGTCTGGGAGCACAGACACCTGGGCCCCCCGATCCCTGCAGTTCCCAAGACACCTCTGCATACAGTGTCCTGTCCCATGTCCCAGAAACTCCATGGATTGGTTCCTAGCTGCACATGAAGCTCGCAGAGCTGAGGTGGCTTCATGGGCCAGGGAGGCATGCCAGGATGGGGTGTGACTTTGAATCCCTCCTTCACATCGCTCCCGCCGGCCACACAGGCTGGAAAAACACTGCGCCAGGCCTGCCTGGCTAGCAGACCCCCCTGAGTTGCAGAGTTTTCTGTCTGTGGGGTGTTTCCCCGGGTGATCTAGCTGCCCCGAGAGGTGGGTATGGCTGGTAGACCCCACTTTGCAGTGGCAGTGTTGAGGTGCAAAAAGCCCCATGTCTGGGGCTCTTGCCAGTGGTGTAAGGACGGTGTAGGAGCTGAGATGCTCTTCGGGAGGCTCCTGGCTATGCAGTCTACGTGTACCATTAAGTTCTTCACCAGGACCAGATCGGGTTGACCCAAGATTGACATCTTTCTTTCGCACTGGTCAGCCAGCTCTGCTCAGACGGCCTGCATAGCCCATGCCCTGGGGATCGCCTCCTGGCGGAGGCAGAAGTGACCTCAATTTCAAGGTCATCCTATCCATCATTCTGATGGTGGAGGCCATCTGGATATCTGAGTGGGTCTGGGTTTCTCATGTCTGATGTGACCTTTGTTCCTCTCAGCCCTGGCATTTTAGGTACCCGCCCAGAGTGGGATGCTGTCCTTTGTCTTTTGGGGTCCGTCGTGTGCCAGGCTCTGTTCCCCCAGCTCCCGTGTCCTTTGTTTGTTTTTTTCCCGCACGCTCACCTGGTCCAGGTCCCCGGGGCCCCCGTGGAAGGCATGGGTGACGCATATGGGCCCCTGGGGCTCTTGCCAGCATCAGTGTGGTTACCTGGCTCCGGGTGCCCAGAAGCTGAGGGCTCAGAGGATCCAAGCCTGTCCTTGTGGACGGGGCTGCGGTGGCAGAACCCTGCCTCATCTCTGCCCGCACCTCCTGGGGGACGTCTAAGAAGGTGATGTATACAGTAAGTGATTGGTAGAGCACTGCATCGCAGTGAGCACAGTCCCTAGTCTTACACGTTAAACTGTCTGGGCACGTTCATGTGCTTAGTGCCCATGGCCTCCATTGGATTCACAGCCACACTGAAGGGCACAGTGTGGAGGCCTTCGAGTCCCAGGTGGTCACGGGAGGCTAGGAGACTTCTGACTGGTCTGTGCCTCCAAGGCCAGTACCTTTCCTCCCCCCACTCCTGCCATACACACCTCTGCACAGGCCCACCTTCCAGCTCCTTCCAGGGCCAGCTCAGCCACTAGCTCCACCATGAAACCTCTGGGGACTGACCTCACCCTCCTGAGGCCTTCGCTGTCCTTTGTGAGGAGCAGTAACAGGATGAAAACAGGGAGTGCTCCCATGAGTCACACCCTGGGATAAGCTCGTGAGACTTCTCAGCTCACTTAATCCTCATAAAAACCTTGTGAAATGTGCCCCGTCATCTCCGTCTCACAGTGGAGGGGAAACTGAGGCAGAGAGCTTGGCCCCCGGCAGCCTGTACTGCGGCTTCCCCTGGGGAGCTCCCTGCTCCAGGCAACCCATGGTGCTGCTTTTTCTCTTGTTTTATAAAGATTTTATTTATTTATTTTAGAGAGAGGAAAGCCAGCACAGGGGGTGGGGTGAAGAGAGAATTCCAAGCAGATTCTGTGCTAAGCGTGGAGCCCACGACCCGGGAGCTTGATCTCACGTCTCTGAGATCATGACCTGAGCCAAATTCAAGAGTCACCCGCTCAACTGACTGAGCCCTTCAGGCGCCCCTGACTATTGCATGTCTAAGAATCCTTTGCCCCTTTGTTGATTTGAACCCCTCCTGGTGACCTCTGCCCTGGGGCCTCCATCTGTCCCCTGAGCCACACAGAACACAAATCCCCCTCCTTCCTGGCAGCCTCGGGATGTGGGACAGGCCATGTATTTGAGTTCTTCAGTACTTTTCCTCTGGTCTCTTCCTTCATGTCACGGGGTCCAGGCTCCCCCAGTGAGGGGTCCAGGCTTCTCTTCAGGTGTGACCGGGCATCCTGGTGAGGTCCAGTGGGGCAGCCCCTCTGCCAGCCAGGATAAGAGCCTGTCCTCTCTGGGGGTACGTCCTGGCACAGGAATAGCCTGACAAGTCACTGGGTGACTAGTGATGGCACTGGCCTGGAGTGCATGGGGACCTGGGGAGATTTCCAGGGTCTGCCTGTGGGACCCTCGCTTCTGGAAGAAAGCAGCTCCCTAGGGATCCCTCTCTCTAGGCCATGTGTGGATGTAAGCCCTTTCCAGGTGTTAATTCATCAGTTCCCACCTGGTCGGGCAAATGACCCCCAAGGTCAGAGTCAGTGGCAGAGCGTGACCTGAACCGGGTGGCCTAGCTCACTTGGCTGGGAGCCCAGGGGACTGACTCGCACAGCTGAATGCCCTGTGTTCCATGGGCACATCAGGCTTCAGTTCCAACACCCTTCTGAGCAGGGGATGATGTGTACCTGGTCCCCCACGCATCTGCCATGAGGTCTGTGCCAGAGATGCGGCCCGCAGGGCACTTGCTCTGAGTGTGGTCGGGACTGCTCGCACTGGAATCGCCTGGAGGTTGATTTTTAACAGAGGGACCCAGGACCCTGGGAATGCACACTGTAATGAGCTCTGCAGGTGACACATTGAATCTGTGGGGGGCAGGCTCAGGAGGGCTGACACCTTTGGGAAATGCCAAGGGCGTTCATTCACCCTTCTGGAGTGTTCTCCCAGCCTTTTCTTGCCCAGTTATGTGTTTGGCATCTTTGAGGAAAGCACACAATAGGGCATGCTTCTCCTGTGAGGGGACAGCTGGGGGAGGGCTGGGGAGTGGGCAGGGAAAGGGGGCACAGGAGGTGAACCTGCGACAGGAGGCAGGGAGGAGGACCTGCCTCCCAACCCCCACCCCTGGCAGTGCCAGGGGCTCTCTCACGGCTGTGGTCTGGACAGAAGGTCTTCCTCATCCTGCCAGGGACCTGGGCAGCTTCTGTGTGGCGCCCGCCCAGTCATTCCTTGGTCCTTTTCATTTCCATGTGTGAACAGCAAGGATGTGATTGTGTCTTTTGGCTGTTGAAGCAACAAGTACATAATGTGTCCTCCTTTGTCTCTAATTTGTACACTTCAGGAGGAGGAAGCCGGCTGCTTTGCGCCTCCTCTTTATATACCTTTGGATGGCATCCTTGAGAGGAGATGTCTTTTTGGACGTTACTCGGGATGAAGCTCTTGGCTCTGGGGTTGCTAGGCTGGTTGCTAGGTAACCGCTGGGGGTGGGGAGGGTTCTGTGAGACTCCGCCACACTGGGATCGCTGGGTGACTCACCCGGGGGCAGCGGCCAGAAGCCCAGGCTTCTGAAGAGGGTAGTGTCAATGAGGAAAAGTGCTCATTTAATTAATTGAAGGTGTATTAAACACAGGCTGAGATGTAGCTCAAATTAAATAAACCTAAACATTCTTCTGGGGACGTGTTCCTGCTGTCCCCTCCCCCTCGGCAGAGCAGAGGGTCGGGGTGTGGCTGGGGGGCTGCTGAGCCCGCTTTCCCAGCACAGAGGCTGGAGGGGCCATCACTAGGCCCACTAAAGGAAGGTTCCATCAGGTTCTGCTTTGTGGCTGCCTTGGCGGAGAGCTGTCGCAGTGTCTGAAACCCACATGCCTTCTCACCTGGCGCCATAGTGTGCTCAGGGCTCCGGAGGGTCCGGGGCCGGCCTTGCATGGCCTT